TTCTAGTAATCAGCAGCGAAAAAGCTTCTTTTGTCCACCGCAACATTCGTAGCTTCAAAGCAGCGACGGCGAGCGGCTAGCGCAGACTACATTTGGAGTAACTGAAGTTCACGAAGTGGCGAATTGGATATTAGGCCGGTTTTGCAGGTGTCATGACCTACCTAACTGCCTCATATAACTTGCATCTTTGCAGCGGCTCCTCAGCGGTAATAACTGGGGACGAAGACCGGCCGGCAGTGAAATCTTGACTCGGGAGTAATAAGCTGCTCCCAGCTTTGGCTTCAGAGCTTGTAGCTGATTGTTGCCCGGGCGGTGTAAAGGATTCATTTGCAGATGTTTGAAGCGATATCCTGGTTGATTGCTACTACACAACAAGCACTTGACAGTTAGCAACGCACGCTTCGTCACAACAAAACCGCACGCAAACTGCCGTTGGGTCGCTTGGAGCGATATGGCGAACATTTTTCAGTTAATTCAGAGTGCAACATACCATAATTCTCAAGGAGGATCAGTTTGCGGCGTTTTGGAGTTGGAAGGTGCTCCCGAATCCATTCCGTCATCTGAAGTGATTGCAGATAGCAGCCTGCCACTTTTTGCCGCCTCCTGCTTCTCTTCATTACTACACGGCAGTGCAGAAGGAGTCAAGCTGAAGGCCATCGCACCCAGGAGCTTCACCAGAACTTCCGCGTCGTCCAACGAGAGACCTTGACTACTATGGCCAGCTCCAGAGAACACTGGTTGGGAACACCTCAACACAGTTGTTTCCATCGAGTAAATTACGTCAAGAGCTGAAGGTTCACGATATAATCACATGATCTTGGAGACAGGTGTTTTGCTAACGTGCAGACAGGCAGGGTATATTGGTCCGCACCCCCCCTCCCGTAGACAACGCACGGTCATTCTGCAGTGCCGAATGCCTCAGAAAAACGAAATATTGTTCTGACGAATCCCCTGAGTAGTCGTCAAAAAGCCAGAACCCTTCAGCGTATGCACCTCCGCCTACGGAGAGTACAGAATCAACAAGTGTATCGAAAACCGGATCGAGACGTGGTGCGGGCGACAGTGGAATCTCCTCAGTCGTCGGCTCAAGCTTTCCCGGAGTCATTTTCGCAGAATCATCGATGTGTGTCTTTGAAGTGTTAGGTTTCGCATTTCCTGACCCTGCCTGCACAGATTCGACGTCAGAGACCAGCTGTATGGGCATACCCCCTAGGCTTTTCGAGTAGATGCCTGTAGCTGAGTCGGTACTGCACGAGTGGCTGGTCATATTTTCCATCAATTGGGCTGTCTCTCTACCTGCTACTGAAGGAGTAACCAGTAATCGCTTTAGTAAGTGGGCTGCGCGCTCAGGCAAGAAAACGGACAGCCGAGACTGCAACAAATGTGGCGTGCGGTGGTTATGCCTTTGGTGGTCGCTCTGCTGTGGCGGGTTTGCCACCGTTTTGCAACCCATCACTGTGGTATCTGCTGGCTTGCCGCGCTGGGACATACGACTACAAGGTGGGGTAAATCTGATGTTTTGAAAGAAACTCCTAACGAAGACTGAACTAACCGCCACTGAGCCGCATTCAGTGCCTTGCTACAATATGCGTGGAGATTGGAGCANTTGGCGAGTGTTGTTGCGGTGCCTGGAAGCGTCTTTAAAGGAAAGTAAAATGATGTGCTTCCCCATTGTTGTGATCGGAAATCGCTCAACCGGCATAGAAAACACTGTATTTATGCATGCCTCTAAGAGTAACGCAGAACAAGCGTCTGCTACCCAGGCCCCCTTTTGGTCCTTGAGGGTGCAGAAGCAGCAGGAAATCCGACTTCCTCATCAAGCCCGCTAGCGCCCTCGCAGCGAACGAACAAAGAATCAACCCAAAAAATACGTGTTTAAAGGACATAGCTTCATACAGTAGGGGAAATATCCCGTCGAAAACCACTTAGGCAAGCGAGATGACGTAACATCTAGGACAAATTTTTCAGTGACTTGAATATACGTAGACATCCAAGCAATTTGCGAAAGTCTCTCCTATTCCCCAAAACTTAGCACAGAGCACCTGGAATAATCTCCCCCAGAAATCTGCCAAACGCGAACACTTAGGGAGATTTTGTTCTGCAAAAAACTTTCACTGGGTGTAAAACAGTTAACGCTAACGCCCGCAGCAACGCCAACAGCAAAAAAGACGACTTCCAACAGGGAAGCCGTTGTGTCCAGGCTGAACTCTTTAGTAGCTTCGTGAGAATGTGCACTGGCACCTTCCGCACGTTCCTTAAATACCAAATTGATGGCGGAAATACCACGGACTGCGTCAGATCCTCTGATGCGAACCGGAGAGATGGCAACGTCGACTCCCGAAGCCAGAAGGGCACGGTGGAGCAAAGGATCGAAACAAATGTTGACGGTCAACAACCTAGATCACGCCAGGATTCTCACCCAACGTATTTTGCGCGAACGTCTAGCCACGGAAGGATGCTGCATACCGTACCCAGTATATACACATTCGCTTGGGGCGCCAGCGTGCCAGATGATCGCTGCAACATGCGGCTAACCCTTCACTAGAAGAGCAAACCAAATAAGCATCAGGAAAAAAGCAGCCCTCATACCTAATTGAAGAGACGAAGTTACACGTTGGCGTTTCCAAGTGCCCTCTACGACCGGTGTGTTGCTCAGTCGCGAACACGGACTGAAGACTGACCGGTGGCACCCCCTTCGCTGCGTCAAAGCATGACGCACCTACATCATAATTCGGATTTCGACTGACCGTGGACGTCGTTTTTGCCCGCAGTTAAAGTAGCTGCATCTCGATAGTTGACCACTGAGCACAACAGCTTTGCCCTTTTTCTGTCAGATCCCTTAGTAGTTCCCTTGCCATTCAACAGTTCGTATTGCAGGACTCTAATTCACCCATGGACGTCAATATACTCCCTACAGATCTCAGCAGGAGACGTCCGTCGGCCAATCCGCACCGGTAGCACTGCGTCAATAATGTTGGCGCATGCAATTCTACTCCATATATATATCGCAACTGCGTTGAGCTTACGAAAGCTTCGAAGACAAGTGAGCGCGAATTACACCGGCACACAGACTGCCTGCGGGCGTTGTCAGCTTCGTAGCTTATTCTATTGGCGTTGAACTGTGACACCTAACTCACATTGTTGCCCCGTTGGTAAACGGTCATCATCTCATAACCGGCGACTGGTTGATTCTTTTGGTGGTTGCTTGCTTGCCTGCACGCTCGACTCTTCGGATTCGAGCCACTCCTTGGCATCTTCTCTCCAAGGGTCCCACTTCGAGACATTGAACCTCGTCGACAACGGTGATAGAAAAAGGGCCAACTTTAAGCCGACTACAAGTTGCAAAGGGGGCCTTTGCCCAATCCTGAAGTAGTCCAACCCAACGTCCAGCGCTTTTAAGATGGGAGCACTCCAGGGCGCCTTCCTTACTCTGGAACCACCGCGATACCTTGCACTCTCTATATGGAGGACTATCGAGGGCCACCACGAATCCTTCTTGGAACAACCTCCAAGCACTTCTGCTGCACAGTGTAGCGTATCGAGAATCAGAAACACCCTCCCCAGAGTTTCGACGGCAAATGCTGTTGTGGTAGCTCGGTCATGCGCCGGCATGCTGGTGGATGCATATTCGCACAGGCGCTCCGTATAATCCAAAAGATTTTCAAGCTCTTCTTTGGTCAGCCACAGCTTTTTAAATAGATATCTGCACTCCGAAAGTATCGGGACTAAGCTTGTGTGAGAAGTACGACTTGATGCTGCCCTCTCTTCGCTGAAACTTCGCCCGATAAGGCCTTGCTGCCTTCCGGGGTGCCGGTAAAACGGATGCATTTTGAGGGCGCTATCATAATTCCTTCCAAACATTGCTTTAATCCATTTAAATGAAGTAGTGAGGCCCTCTGTTGCGGATTGCGCCCGCGAAGATAGCAACTGGGCAAAGCATACCACAGTGACACAATTTCCCTCGATCCCACCGCAATTTTTTTAGCAAAGCAACAATCGCAACCAGCCTAGAGCGCAAGTGATGAAGGTACTAGAAAGCAACAACTGCAAGCTATTCCAAGACTAGGCTTCCTCCACTAATACCACGGCACAGAAAAAAGGGCCCACCTGTTCAGCTTGTTCGACTGCCGGCAGCGAAGCCTCAGCCATAGATCCTACAGAATCCTGTGTGGCAATGGTGCCCGAAGTGGATGGCAATGAGCTTCGAAGAACGGTCGTTTCCACCGCAGTAGTTGCCATTCCATGCTCAAGAGCCGTGGAAGGTTCAGCGGCAGGTGCTCGAAGCGATGTATCGGCGGCCTGCTACTCCGCAACACGCATTTGGCACACAGCAATCCACCCTTCATCACACCAAAAGCATGAGGGGACAAATGCCTTTATATAAAATGGAACAATCAGGCAATAATAGTTATAGTTAAGCTTATCCGTAGTCCTACTTAGAGTACCTCGCTGGAAGAATCACTTTGTGGCGTTGCATAGCCGTCAACTCTTGGATCCATGACGCTCTCTGTTGTGCCAGTGCGTAACGACCCGTGGCCTGTTGCCGCCCCCTCCGGTTCTCCGCTGCTAGCTGGCAATGCAGAGTGCATCCCGCTGGATGCCATCAGGCTCAGCGCTTCCCCCAAATCTTGTGCTGCCTCACTCAATAGCCATTCATGTAAAACATGCTGACCACTATGGCTGGATTCTGACAACACGGATTCGAAAAATCCCAGCGGGGTTGAATCGCTAGCTTCACTTCCATCTAGAACGGACAGGGCTCCAGATACGCCTGGAGTGATTTGGTCTGCTTGAGCACACGGGGAAGGGCTCTGCCTGTTCCCATGCCACTCTACAGGCTCTGCACGGTCGATTTGCACTGCTGAAGACGTCAGGCGAGTTTCATCATCATCAAGGAGCCAAATGTCTTCGGACAATGGGTCTTCAATTTCACTCAACATAGAGTCAATAAGTATATCGAGAGCCGGGTCTAGTGGTATTGGTGGATGTCCCGGCGGAATATCCTGAACCGGCACTTCCAACCTGGGCAGCTTCGCCTCCCTCTCCAGAATGACATTCTCTTTCTCATTCCCCTTAACGCTAGCCCACTCTCCAGCTTCGTTTACCCGTTGTGTGGCTGCAGACGAAATGCGCTTTCTGGGAACCGTTGACGTTCTCCCCAGCGCTGGCGACGTATCAGTATGCCCACTTTCGACAGAAAGAGGCACATATGGACTTGGGAAAGGATACGAGTGAGGAGCGTGACCTTGAGCTTTGTCTATGTCTCTGACGCATGATCCTGACTCGCCACTGTCTTCATCATCATCGCTGGCCGCCAGTGTGCGCCCAAATGGCAACGCGGCTTTTCCCCTTCGAATAGATAAACTGCATATGTAGACAAATAGTAGGACAGCAGATGCTGCAGCAAATGCTGCGAGCAGTGCTTGTGCCTTCTGGGCTCGCGCCGCTGTGCAGGTCCTGCAACTTGTGCGGAAGAGCTCATCTCTGACATCTGGGTTGAGGCCTCCCGTCGGTATGACTAAATGCAGGCGGGAGGTAGTCCGATGCCATGCAAGGGACTTCTCGTTGAGCTTTCCCTCATCTCCGGCTGAATCGCTTGACCACACGTTGTGTGTTGGCTGTAGAAATCCCATATCCCGGTCGCGCCGTTGCTGTGGCCAGGTTTCAAACAACCAGCGCCGCAGCACACAAAGACGCTTGAGGCGATACACTCACCATAGATGGAATATGGAAGAGTCGAATGTACAATCGAATTTGCGGGACCGTCGTGTCGCGCTACACGTGTTTAGGGGAGTGTCATAGACCCGCAAGGCACCAAGGCCGCGACGATGAGGATTCAACAACGATTATTCAATAACAGGCAAACAAATCGACGTTTGTATTTTCATGAAACTGAACTCTTGTGTACGCGTTGCCAACTGGTTATGGTCAGCGCGACGGCTCCGCTGGTTTCTGTCGATCCAGTGGCTGCGCAACCTTGCCTGACGAGCGCGGAGATCTACCGCTAGCCCTTTATACGTATTGGAAGGGAAAGCCAATTGAAGTGTTGCAATGTCTAAGGGTTAATTTAAACCAATCGGGAGAGACTTAATTTGTTTCTCCCGGCACCATACTGTGCTCAGCGTGTGGAACCGGATGTGCTGGTTGGGTACGGTGGTCTGTGTGAAGTACATAAATGTATGCTACCTGNGGCTGGCAATGCTTGCGTGTGGGGATGGCCTGCACCAGCCGTTGCACTGTAGCTTTTTAGCGGAGTCTACCCAATATTGACGCAAGTACACCTCCTTTCTTGCATGCTGCCCACTAAAAGCCACGTAAGTGTTTAGCGAACGCTTCCAGTGTTCGTGCATGCAGCAAAGGGGGCCTGGTTGTGCCTGCATGTGAGGATGCCCAGCAGACTTGAGCACATCTGTCACACCCACTGGAGTGCTCGGGCATTACAGTGAGTTTGTTTTATTAGTTGAGTTGTCTAGAAGAGTTTGTTTATTGATAGAACATTATATATTGAGTATGCCCGTTGCACGCGAGTCAGTTTAGCGCCTGTCCGCTAGAGCAGAACAGCGCACCACACAAGCGAAAGGGATGCAGTTTACAACCAGACCCGCTTGTAAGTCTTCTTCTACGGACCAAAGCAACGAACTGCAGGCAGACCTCCGCGTCCGCTATCATGAATTCCCGATCCCCTCATCACGGATCGCGACCCACATTTTCAGTCGTTTCTTTGGGAGCAGCTCTGGAGGCGTTTTAACATCCAGCGCGTCACCACCACCGCGTACCACCTGCAAATCGATGGCTAGACGGAACAAGCTAAACGGATACTCGAAGAAAGGGCACGCACATGCATCCAGACGAACAAGCGCGACTGGGAACGGCTGCTTCCTGCACTGGAACCCGCGGATAACACCACCAGCCATACCTCAAGTGAAGTCACTCCCTTCTAGGTTATGATAGGGGACAACCCGATCACAGTGGCAGAGCTAGACACCGTAGGTATTATAGTTCCCACCCTCACACCCCCATGACCAAGCTCTTCTGTTGCTTGTGCAGCCGAACCCACGCACATATCCTCCAAACCAAGTGGGCTGTATCCAACAGAGCTACACCGAAGCGACGTTCTCTTCGACGTGGGAGACAAACTGTGGCTGAACAGTTGCCACCTTCCGCCCCAAAACTCTTGTTCTAAATTCGAGCTGCGATTCGGTTGACGGTTCACGCTGAAGGAGAGGGTCTGAGAGTAGGCTGTTCCTCTGGAAAACTACTGTGGGGCTCACCCTAGGAACCCCACAGCTGAGTATAACGAGATAACAGGTATTAGTTAGCTGACACCCTCAAGTAAAATGCTACAGACAATCAGACATCTCGTCCGATACAGCAAAATAACAAAGCTAACAAAGCTTAAAGGAGGTTTCTTCTCCTGTTTTTTTTCAAAATTGTTCTGTTCTGCAACCCCAGTATAGCCGGAACTGCGGCCGTTGGAGCTGGGAGAGGAGGCAGCCTGGCATGTTGCAACACCTTTTGAACTAAGTCACATGCCAGCCTCTCCTGTAATATCAATACGTCTATTCGTAAACAATATTTGGTACATTCATCAATTATCTACAAATAGATGTCGATAAGCACTTGCACACGCTTCTACTGTTCAATCATCCCTCACTCCTAAGCAACGAGCACGGCAATGTTGCCGTGATTGTGGTCAGTATTAACTACACCTAGCACCAAACGGTCAGCATCAGCCTCCTAGAAGCAAGGGTCAACTAGTCGTTTCATACGACTGCAGTAGAACAAGCAGCGCATTTACGAGTGAAGTAGCGAGACCGTGAAATTGTGTAGGCCTGGCCGGCAAGCGGTGCGAGCACCCGTTCAGTGGTGGCGTGACGAGCCCGGGCTGCAACCATAGGGGGACCACCAAGGCAGTCTGGGAGATCTATTGTCCCGCTGAATTACCAGCATAACCCTAACCAAAAACCTGCATATAACTTTCCCATTTAAGGTTACGGGACGTTGTCTTTGTGAACCCATCGTATTCCACTGGACTTGTCAGTCTACCGCTCTTCTGCAGGCTAGAATACGCAACAGGCGCGCACTGATTCTGTTGGATTCTATAGGGAGAACGATCCCCCTCTTCTACTTTAGATAAACCAATTTCTATTGGTATATCTAAACTATAAGGGGCATTCTCGGTCCTGCGAAGCTTCAGGGTTCCTGAGCTGAACCTCCGGGCATGACAGTTGTGCTCTAGTGTACGGTTAGAATGTGAATAGACTAATTTAGTTGGAGATTCTTTCACAGCTTGGTAACAGAGTAGAGACCGGAAGTTATACCAGAGCAGCTGTAGTGCGCTCGCACTGCAAGGTAATGCTGTTACTATAGAAAGTTAAAATAGTGGATATAAGGACTGGGAAAGTAATAAGTACGACAGAAACTATAAATCTGTACTAATTTAGACTAGTATGACGAATTGGGCAGACGTACCACTATAGTAGCTGTCTAATAGAGAGAAGGAGGCCGGTGCGGTGTAGCATGGGTCGGCCGTTCCCCGCGACTAGCGGCCCGTCGAGGGATTGCTAGCGGAAGGTCATGGGCCGAAAGGGGACGGAGGATATTTTCAGAAGACAAAACTTTGAAATAATTATAATCGAACTACAATTTTGACTTAAAAGTTGCAGAAACGAGGAATTTGAGTCATCTTGTTCGTAACTTGTAAATAAATACAGCTAGGAGTTCACTCAGAGGTCATTACAGCAGCCAACAGCTCCCTAAGCTGGTGCTATACAATGGAATGTTTGGCGACGGCGACCAGGCACACTGACACCTTGGGAACGAGAGATGGACTATCGAATCCCCGTAAGGTGCCTTGTGAACGGGCGTTCGGCTACTCCATCAGGACGTTGCTTCCATATGTTTCTTGGAACTTCGGAGTTAAATAATATATCGCTTATATTTCCTCTTTAGCTGCCGGTTTAGTTCGTTCGATCGAGTAGTTGGCAGCTATTTCTGACGAACCCTCTTGAGTAACGCCTGTATGTCTACTTTCTATTGTCATGGAGTATACTTATTACAATTAAGGGGGGAAAACTGATTGTTCACTATTTCACATTCATTACATATAATAAAAAGTATATGTTCACTTACTCTGCACATATTGCATACTCTCCAGCAACCCAGGAGGTGCGCGGCTGAACGGAAGGGCATTACAGCTGTCTTCCCTATCTACCAGGAACATAGATCCGGGCCAGAACTTCGTTCTGTCATATTTGTTAGTTATTCTTTCCGTATATTGCTATTTCCCGGGCTTGCACAATATGATCCCGTGCTCCGTTTACTCGTTGAGCTTGGTGACGCGCCACGCCTTCATCATCCGGTGGTGTCATCGATTATAGGTTCCTCATATCCCNCGTTGAGCTTGGTGACGCGCCACGCCTTCATCATCCGGTGGTGTCATCGATTATAGGTTCCTCATATCCCTTGTTCGTCCCGTGGAAAAACGCATTAATCACCCGGAAACAATTTTATTTACAGTCCTCTCAGCGCTTAGGCATTGCGTCGCCAGGAGACGGTAATCCGTTGGAGGGATTCCGCTCAACATCAGCCAGCACCGACAGGCGTACCTCTCAGGTGAGTGCGGGGGTCATGCTACCGTAGTTGCGGGCTGGATCCGGAGAGTACTTCTAGGGAGACTCTGCCGGGTCCTTTGGGTCCTGCGGTCCAGACCCCAGAACACTATTTCTCACTGATCTCGTATGAACAATGGAAATCAACCAATTCAGGATTTTCCTATTCAGTTTGCTACGGCAGCCTTTTAGAACTACCAAGTTGCCTAGTCGCGCATATCCATATAAGTTCCATAGATGTTTCTGTTGTCCAGCTCACTGGTGCCA